GCATGTAAGATTTCTAATGAAAGCTTGTGTTGCAATGAGCATCGTAATCATTGTGAAATGCTTGTACAGAGACAATGTAAGGAGTTAGATATCGATACTGCAAACCATGTTCTTAAGGTCTGCAACTTGGGCAGCTGGTCACCAGAAAAGATGAAAACAAGGTTTTCTTGGGACAAAAGATGTTTATCGTTCTACCTGTTTACATGTGAATTGATGGGTGGGGAGCCCCAGGGAGGCAACGGGAGTCTGGGGAAATGGCTGGGGAGCCCCAAGGAGGCAGCACTGGCCTGGGGGATGGGTGGGGAGCCCCAAGGAGGCAGTGGTGGCCAGGGGCAATGCGGGGAATGGGTATGAAGCCCAGGGAGGCAGCAGGGTCAAGGGAAAAGGGGAGGTGGGGTGGGGGGAACTGGGGGAGGTAGTAGGAGCCAGGGGAAATGGGAAGATGAGGGGAATACAAGTGCAGTTCCCCTGAAACTGACAGTATTGTATTTCATTTTTTCTAAAGGCCCTCACCCGGCAGAGTACTTCAGTGGGCTTAAATCCAAGCACTTGAGCACTACCATTGATTTCATTGGGACTAATCACATGCTTATAATTGACCATATGCTTAAGAGTTTGCTGGACTGGGGCCTTAATGTTGGAATATATTGAGTAATAATTATGAACTGGAAAGTCACACTTTGTAACGTTAACGTTAATAACGTTAATAGCAAAAAAGGAGGTCCGTTGTGAAGCTTTGATCCAAATTCAAGTTCCTAAACTTCAGATCCAAACCCAAGTCACTTCACAAGAGTGTTGGGATTTGAGTTCTGAAATGGCCCCTCATAAAAATAAACCTGAGCTGTGAAGTTGAAATCTGCACCTAAATCTGACTTTTCTCATGTTTCGGAGCGGTCTGGATTCTGTGCCCTAGTTTGGGGTCCATCTCTAGTTAAACGTGAACTGTAAAGAGAAAATAGAATTGTAGGCAAGCTCAGATAGGTGACTGGAACGTCCCTGCTAATGTCCCACCTTCCTGGAAAGCCTTCCTGTGGACCCAGCAAACAGACTTTCAGCTGTGGCTGTGGAGTCATGTGATCACGTCACCTGATATGGGACTCCATGATAAAATTAGTACTTTTCCACTGACCGGAGGTTGGGGTGGGGATCATACTGGAAAACAAAGGATTCCGGCCATATGTAAAATCTATTTAAGGCAGGGGAGTGACATAATCAGTGTTTGTTCTTCACTGAATCCCCGCCCAAGATGTTTGCTGTGAACATTTAAGAAACAAAGATGCGGGGGGGAGTGGGGGAGAAGAGCTGGAAAGCGGTCTAGCCTTCGAAAGAAACATCTCAAGTTTTAAACTGCAAGCAAGAGCAGCTTTCCTTCAAGAACCTCTGCAATCTGCCCAAAATAACATTTAGGGTGAGAAATTGATGCATATAACCAGTTTCTTTAGCACATTGAGCTTAGCTTGCATGTTTGTTTTATTTGCTAGGTAATCTGCTTTGATTTCTGTGCTATCCCTTATAATAACTGAAAATTGATCTTTTGTAGTTAATAAACTTGTTGTTTTCTCTAAAACCAGTTTGTGAAATTCATAACTGGGGGGCAAAAGCCATGCATATCTTCCTCCACATTGAGGGAGGGGGTGAATTTCATGAGCTTATGCCAGGGGTTCTCAAACTGGGGGTCAGGAGGTTATTACAGGGGGGGTTGCAAGCTGTCAGCCTCCACCCCAAACCCCGCTTGTCAGCCTCCACCCCAAACCCCGCTTTGCCTCCAGCTTTTATATATTTAACACCCTTATAAATAAGTGTTTTTAATTTATAAGAGGGGTCACACTCAGAGGCTTGCTGTGTGAAAGGGGTCACCAGTACAAAAGTTTGAGAACCACTGGCTTATGCCATATAGTTCACGCCATATAGTTCTCTATGCAGTGCAAGACTATGTAATTTTGGGTTTACACTCCAGAGGGGTTGTGCACTTGAGTGCTGAGCAATTCCTTAGTTGAAGCCTTCCCCTGCAGTGCTGGTTTCAGTGTCGGTGTCTTTCTGCAGCTGGGTGTAGCCCTATCGGTGTGCGCTGAAGAGGCTGGAGGGCCTGGCTCAGCAGGACAGGGTAAGGGAGCCCAGGCTGGTGGAGCAGGTGGGCTCAGTGGTTCCCCAGTACATCAGGTGGCACCGGGGGGTAGGGGGAGAACCCGACACAATGACATCAAAAGTAGGTCTAGAAATCAAAACTCCTTTGGCGCTTGAGTACCTGCCCTGAACCTGCAGCGGAGCACCAGAGCCTTTACATTGTGCCCCCCGCACTGCCAGCTATTACCACTCACCTCTGCGCATCAGACATTTTAGGCGCCCAGAGGGTGTTAACTCAGATATGAAGCAGTTCACTTAACACAACCACGCTGTCAATTCATTAACCAGTGTGTAAATATGGTTCATTAACACATATGTAAATATACAAAATGACTTTTTTTTTCCCCCTACATATCTGTTGGAGCTGGCATGCAGGTGACTTCTCTAGCTCAGTTTCACCGTTGCAGTGGCTGGTTCTAGAGACGGAGAGGGAGTTCATTCAGGCGATTCACGCAAGGTGCTGTGACAGCCAGACGCCTGTTCTCTGGGTGGATTTCTCAGCAGTTGCCCAACACTTGACTTTAAAAGATGGAGTTAGTAGGGTGCTTTTCAGCAATCAGAGTGCAGTTGTTACCCAGCAGGGGGTGCTCTCCCTGGCCAAGCCATGATGGCCACACTCACCATCTTGTTCATGCAGACATTTTGACTTCAGGAAGCAACACTTTGAACAACATGGGACATTTTATACCATTTCTGCTGGGTGGTGCAGCCTGGTCACTCTGCTGGGCAAAGCTGGCCTGGACCAATCAGGAAATGACCCATACTCATGGCAAAAGCTTGGAACATCCAACCAGGATATGAGTTGTGTCCATTCTCATTGTCCAATGGGGCAATCACAATCCAAAGTGTAATCCAGACCAGTGGGGAGCAGTGTCACCGCCCGCCCTGTAACCTGGGGGGCCCAGTAATGCTTTGCTGCTGTAGCTCCCAACCCGGCCCACTCAGAAATAGCCTCCAGCATTCCAGTTGTACCCCGAGTGTCTGTGTGTAGCTGCTGCCTGCCAGCCACGCTCAGCTCACACTCTGGCTTTCACAGCCTTGGTTATTACTCCAGGGTGACCCCAAAACACTCACAGTCACAGATTTCCTACCCAAAATGTGTGGCCTGTATTGTCCAGCCTTTTCCTGGACAGTCCTGATACAATAGGTCCATTGCCTCTCCCAGGGGATCAAGATATAACAGTTTCCCACCCCAAATGGAGATAGCCGCAGAGTTCACAATACTGGATTCATTTCAATTAAAAGAAGAAAAATTTATTTCATCACAAAGGTAGATTTCAAGTGAGTACAATGATGAAGCATCAAAGTCAGAAATGGTTGCAAGAAAAAAAAAAGAAAAACACTTCTTAGTACCAAACTGAACAAACTAGACTTGGGGCGAAGTGAAGTCCCTTAGAATAGGTTTCCAGGAGCATTGCTGACCAAATTTTCAGGTCAGGATCAGTTCCTGAGGTCCAAGAGCTGCTTTTCTTTTCTTTTGTTTGTCCTCTTAGGTGATAAGGAGAGATGAACAGGGAGAAATAACAAGAGCTGTTTTTGCCCCTCTCTTTTATAGTTCCATCTCCCTTTAAAATGCATTTTTCTCCAAGCAACCCCTAGATAAAGTTCACAGCTGAGTGGGGAGACGAATTTTGGTGGGGAAGAGGTTTCATGCTGTTGTTTTCTAAAATGCAGGTTTGTTTGTTCCTGATTGCCTTCCTTTCCAAACAATGGCTACCTGATAGGTGATGACCCATCAGCTTTGATGATACCTTGGCCAGAAGCGTTAACTTCTTTGTTTTTGAGAAACGGTTTTACCCACTCCCCAGACGTGTCTGGTAAACACACTTCAGTTGCGATTTCAGCTTAGACACAGTTGCTGATAGGTAGTTTGAAATGAATCACCAAAATAATTGGAACTGTGATTATATTGTGTTATTTTGACAAATAAAATATGCAGAATTTTAAAATATGGTGTGTTTAATGTTTGATTTTTTAGCACAGAATTCCCCAAGGAGTAATGCAAAAGTCTCTGTGTGCACCTGCCAGTCACATAGTTCATCAGGCCTCATAACATTTTGATTGGTTTATTTTAAAGATTTACACTTCACGTTGGCTTTTCCTATGCCATCCGAATGCATCAGCTCCTTTAATAGCGAAGAAACACCTGGTTAGACAGACCTTTGTTACAGATTAGGTATGTAGTTCTTCTTCATCACATTTGAATTTAAAGTAGACTAGCATGAGCAGTTCCTGAGTCTTCTTTCAATCTCACACACCAGGCTGTCCTACCCCCCCGCCTCCTCAGACCAATCCATGCGGAGGCAGGACTGCAATCCCATCTCCAGATGTCCCCTAAGAGTCAGCCCCTGCTTGGAACCAAGGTAGGAGTGGGGGGAAGTTCCTGACACGGTCGCATCTAGATGGGGGAGGGTTGTCCTGGCTGCCTCACAGCTAGATATGTGGGGAGGGGGGGCAGAGGGGGACACAGACACCTGGGTGGACCCCAGGTAGATGCAGGGGGGCCCTAATGGAGTAGGCTGTGACCATCTGCTCTAACATCCCCCCACCTGTCTGCTCTTCCCCACACTGCTTGGCCAAGTCCCCTTCCCTGCCCCACACAGTCTCTCTGTGGGGCATCATGGGGACAGGACCGCTCCCTGGCCTCCACCAGCTGCCGCTGTGCCAGTTCCACGGGCTGCCAGAAGCCCCTCAGGCCCTGGCGGTGGCAGAGGGGCATTGGTGAGCCAACTGGTGCTGGGCGAGGTTGCCCAATTGAGCAAAGCGTTTGCCAATCAGCACAGTTGCACGGCCGCTCCCCGGTGTCCGTGCGCGGCTGGTTTGTCAGCGTCCTGGCATTGCTGAAGCTCTTGCAGCAATCGTCACAGCGAGGCGGCCGCTCCCGTGTGCGTACGCTGGTGTTTCCTCAGGTGTCCAATCTGTGCAAAGCCCTTGCCGCATTCGTCACAGCGGTATGGCCGCTCCCCGGTGTGTGTGCGCTGGTGTATTCTCAGGCTTGAGCTCTCTGCAAAGCCCTTGCCGCAGTCGGCGCAGCGGTACGGCCGCTCCCCGGTGTGCGCGCGCTGGTGTATTCTCAGCTTTGAGTTCTCGGCAAAGCTCTTCCCACAGTCGATGCAGCGGTAGGGCCGCTCCCCGCTGTGCGTGCGCTGGTGTATTCTCAGGTGTGCAATCTGGGCAAAGCCCTTGCCGCAGTCAGCACAGCGGTACGGCCGCTCCCCGGTGTGCGTGCGCTGGTGTGTTCTCAGATAGGCAATCTGTGCAAAGCCCTTGCCGCAGTCAGCGCAGTGGTGTGGCAACTCCCCGGTGTGCGTGCGCTGGTGTCTTCTCAGGTGTGCGATCTGGGCAAAGCTCTTGTTGCAGTCGGCGCAGCGGTGCGGCCGCTCTCCGTTGTGCGTGCGCTGGTGTATTCTCAGGTGCGCAATCTCTGCAAAGTCCTTGCCACAGTCGGTGCAGCGATACGGCCGCTCCCTGGTGTGCGTGCGCTGGTGTGTTCTCAGGCTTGAGCTGTGTGCAAATCTCTTGCCACAGCTGGTGCAGCAGCGTGGCCGCTCCCCGGTGTGCGTGCGCTGATGTATTCTCAGGTATGCAATCTGGGCAAAGCCCTTGTCGCAGTCAGAGCAACGGTACGGCCGCTCCCCGGTGTGCGTGCGCTGGTGCTGGTTCAGTGTGAAGGGGTTGCTGAACCTCTTGCCGCAGTCGATGCAGCTGTGGGGACGCCGGCCCACAGGGAGTCTCTGGTGTGTAGTCACATCTGGTCTCTGGCTGAGTCCACCCCGGGGATGGACTGCGTCCTGTGCATGGATCCCTCTGTGGGATGTGGAATCCTGCTTTCCTGCCGCGCTCTCCTCACATTCAGGCTGTGCCCTCGTTCCTCCCGGGATCCTGTGCCCTGCTGGAGAGAGCAGAGGCAATCCTGGTGTTAGTTCATGGTTAAAGCTACACCTTCAACAAAGACGGAAAAATGTCACGGATGGAGCGATTTCCCCATTCCTCCATGACTGGTTTTGGGATGGGTGCCTCACTCTGCAATGGCAGCTCCTCTCCCACGGGCCTGGACCCAACACCTCGCTCCGGGCACTGAGACCTGGCCTGTGGGGTTCCAGTGCCACTCAGATTTTCCCCCGCCCCCAGTCATGATGGTGGGGGAGGTGGGCCAAACTTCAGTGAAGGGCCTTGCCACCCAGATCCACTGTAGCTCACCCCTACCCCTCTACACCAGGCTGGGGTTAGGGTTGCAGCGCTAGGGGGAAGGTGCTTCTTTGGATGGCTGGTGCCCCTTGGGCAGGGCGAGGAGGTGGGCAGGTTTTATTAAAAATCATGGAACAGTCACAGTAAATTTAAGGACCTGTGACTTTTACTAAACTTATTATAACTGCTCTGTAATTTCTGATACAAAACGCTGTGACAAATCTGCAGCCTGACTCAGGGTGATTCTACCCAATGTTGTTTGTGCAGCGCCTAGCGCCTGCTCCCTCGTGCGCCATGCACCTCTTGGGTCTCGTTTTATGCTTAAATTGTAGCCTGCCCAGGATACAGGCAGTGCGTGGCACAACGCAGCCCTGGTTTTGTTTTCAAACTGATTCTCTTGTTATTTTAATCAGAGGGGTTTATTTACATGGTGCTGGTTCTTCACTTTCTTCTGTTTTACAGCGTGAGGCCTGTTCCCCAGTTTTCGCGCTGTTTTAATTATATTGGTTTGAAACTAGTTTAGTTGAGGGGCTGCAATCCCCTCATGTGGACGCAGTGAGACCTGTTTAAAGCTGCTTAGAACAACGTAGTTTATTCCTGTGGGAGAGAGTCCTTTTTGGGAATTCCTTCTAAAGAAGTCATTTAACCTGCGCCTGATATTTAGTTTTAGTTTTGCACAAAGACTGAAACTAAAATCTGCAAGAGGGTAGGGGGTTTTGGGGGGTGGGAAGTCACTCAGGGTTTGTGTGATGTAACCTGAAAAACAGGTCTGTATTGTGTCACAACCCGCTCCCTGGCACTGCTGAGCTGGAGGGGGATAATGGCTGCCACTCAGCAGGCCTCTGATCTACAGCCAGTCACAGACGAGTTCAGGCTGAGGGCTATGCTAAGCCCGGACACTGAAGTAACGTAGGTGACAACGATTTCATACCACCAAGAGAGCAGGGGGTAGGTGACAAAGGCCATCCCACCCCCTCTCCCTCACACCCAGCCCATACACCAGGGTACTCCAAGTTACGGCCCACACGAGCCTTTTGCCTGGCCCCCAAACATGTTCACTCTCCCCATAGCAGCAGCCTGGAACGTGGGGCAATTTTAGAGCATTACAGTGAAACGCTGCAAGTGCCTGAAACCTGCTCTACAAAATTGCGTCCTGTACCTGGCGTGACCTCGCACTCATCATATGTGACGGATCCTGCCCGGCCCTGAGTCATTCCCAGCTTTCTCCTTGCTCGCTGGGGCAGGTTTCTGCAGTCTGAGAGGTCATGTGCGAAGTGAAATGGCAGAGAGGGGGCGGGGTGGAAACCTGGAGAGGACAGCGCCTTCTCTGCCAAGGGCCAGTCACTCAGGGATGCTCTCCCAGGCTGCGAGCAGGTTTTTGCCCCTCTCTGAGCTATGTCTGGATCCAGGTGCCCCAGGGCCATAAGACACCAGCACACAACTTGAGACAGGAGGGGCAGAGGCATGAAGCCCATTTGAAAAATCTCTAGAGCACCCCTGCCTTGGTATGATTTTCTGAAGTGTGGGAAGCCTAGAAGGCGGTGGTGTGGTCTATGGAACAAGAGGTGTGTCTTTCCAGCCAGGTGCTTGTCTGACCCCCAGTGCCAGATCCACTGACACACACAGATGGATTTTATCCTCACAACCCCAATGTCCTCTCCATTACAGAGCTGGGGAACCTGAGGCATGTAGTGACTCGCTTCTAGAACTGAACCACGGTCTTCTGAATTCTACTGCAATGTCCTACCCACTAGGTAAATGCAGCCCCCCTATGCTCCCCCACACCACGGAGACCTCTCTTTACTTTAGCACCCTGCAAATCCACCACCCCATATTGTCCCATATCACAATTCCATCCCTCTTCCCATTTCATCGCAGCCCCATCTCCGATCCATTTCTTTGTTGTGGCTTCGAGACCCCGTCATTTTTAGGTCACATCCTTGAGTCAAAGATTAGCAGTGTGTAGGAGAGATAGGAAGTATTGTAAGAGGCCTCCCCGGCTTAACCAGGAGATCTTCGATGACCTGAAACTCAAAAAAAGAGTCATACAAGAAGTAAAAACTAGGTCAAATTACAAAGATGAGTATTAAAAAAAAAACCAACACAAGCATGTAGGGACAAAATTAGAAAGGCCAAGGCAAAAAACAAAACTAAACTAGCTAGGGATATAAAGGGTAACAAGAAAGCATTTTACAAATATATGGGAAGCAAGAGGAAGACTAATGTAGTGCCCATCTTTAAAAAAGGGAAGGAGGAGGATCCTGAGAACTACAGGCCAGTCAGCCTCACCTCAGTCCCTAAAAAAATCATGGAGCAGGTCCTCAAAGAATCAATCCTGAAGCACTTACACAAGAGAAAAGTGATCAGGAACAGTCAGCATGGATTCACCAAGGGCAAGTCATGCCTGACTAATCTAATTGCCTTCTATGATGAGATAATTGACTCTGTGGATGAGGGGAAAGCAGTGGACGTGTTGTTCCTTGACTTTAGCAAAGCTTTTGACACGGTCTCCCACAGTATTCTTGCCAGCTAGTTAAAGAAGTATGGTCTAGATGAATGGACTATAAGGTGGACAGAAAGCTGGCTAGATTGTCAGGCTCAACGGGTAGTGATCAACGGCTCCATGTCTAGTTGGCAACCAGTATCAAACGGAGTGCCCCAAGTGTCAGTCCTGGGGCTGGTTTTGTTCAATATCTTCATTAATGATCTGGAGGAGGGCGTGGATTGCACCCTCAGCAAGTTTGCAGAGGACACTAAACTGGGAGGAGTGGTAGATACGCTGGAGAGTAGGGATAGGATACAGAGGGACCTAGAAAATTAGAGGATTGGGCCAAAAGAAATCTGATGAGGTTCAGCAAGGACAAGTTCAGAGTCCTGCACTTAGGACGGAAGAATCCCAAGCACTGCTACAGACTAGGGACCTAATGGCTAGGCAGCAGTTCTGCAGAAAAGGATCTAGGGGTTACAGTGGACGAGAAGCTGGATAGGAGTCAGTGTGCCGTTGTTGGCAAAAAGGCTAACGGCATTTTGGGCTGTATAAGTAGGGGCATTGCCAGCAGATCGAGGGACATGATCATTCCCCACTATTTGACATTGGTGAGGCCTCATCTGGAGTACTGTGTCCAGTTTTGGGCCCCACACTACAAGAAGGATGTGGATAAATTGGAGAGAGTCCAGCGAAGGGCAACAAAAATGATTAGGGGACTGGAACACATGACTTATGAGGAGAGGTTGAGGGAACTGGGATTGTTTAGTCTGCGGAAGAGAAGAATGAGGGGGGATTTGATAGCTGCTTTCAACTACCTGAAAGGGGGTTCCAAAGAGGATGAATCTAGACTGTTCTCAGTGGTACCTGATGACAGAACAAGGAGTAATGGTCTCAAGTTGCAGTGGGGGGGGGGGGGGGTTAGGTTGGATATTAAGAAAAACTTTTTCACTAGGAGGGTGGTGAAGCACTGGAATGGGTTACCTAGGGAAGTGGTGGAATCTCCTACCTTTGAGGTTTTTAAGGTCAGGCTTGACAAAGCCCTGGCTGGGATGATTTAGTTGGGGATTAGTCCTGCTTTGAGCAGGGGGCTGGACTAGATGACCTCCTGAGGTCCCTTCCAACCCTGATATTCTATGATAAGACCAAGGACAGGATAGACCCATTATTAAATGAGGAGGGAAAGACAATAAGAGAAAACACAGCAGTGGCCAAACTAGTAAATGCCTCTTTTGTTTCAGTTTTCAACAAAAAGTTAGCAGTGATTGGTCGACTAACATAGTGAACATCAGTGTCAATGGAGTAGGATCTGAGCCTAAAATAGGAAAGGAAAATAGTTATGAATTACTTAGACAAGTTAGAGGTCTTCAAGTCGGCAGGGCGTGATGAAATACGTCCTAGAATACTTAAGGAACTGGATGAAGAGATCTCTGAGCCATTTGCGATTATCTCTGAGAACTTGTGGAGGATGGTAGAGAGACCCAAGGACTGGAAAAGGGCAAATATAGTACCTAGCTATAGACAGGGGAATAAGGACAACTCAGGGAATTATAGACCAGTCAGCTTAACTTCAGTACCTGGAAAGATAATGGACCAAGTAATCAAACATTCTATTTGTGAGCACCTAGAAGGAAATAAAGGGATAACTAACAGTCAGCATGGATTTGTCAATAACAAATTATGTCAAACCAACCCAATATCCTTAGACAGGTAACAAGCCTTGTGGATAGGGGAGAAGTAGATGTCACATATCTTGACTTTAGTAAAGCTTTTGATACTGTCTTACATGACCTTCTAGTAAACCAACTAGAGAAATATAGGGTAGGCAAAGTTACTATTGTTGGGAGATTATATATATATATATATCTCCATGTAATACGTTATAGGCTTGTGACAAAGTGGGGATTTCCCCTTTGTCATAAACATACAGCTAAGGGTAGAATAAAATCCCTCGTTTCAGAGGAACAGCCGTGTTAGTCTGTATTCGCAAAAAGAAAAGGGGTACTTGTGGCACCTTAGAGACTAACCAATTTATTTGAGCATGAGCTTTCGTGAGCCACAGCTCACTTCATCAGATGTGTACCGTGGAAACTGCAGCAGACTTTATATACACACAGAGAATATGAAACAATACCTCCTCCCACCCCACTGTCCTGCTGGTAATAGCTTATCTAAAGTGATCAACAGGTGGGCCATTTCCAGCACAAATCCAGGTTTTC